GATTCGGCGGCAGAGAGGACGAGGATGACGCGGGCGGGGGGATGAAGTTTGGTGCAGTTCGAGGGGTACAGTTGGTCCGAAGATGTCCAACAAGGCCGATTCGAGCCCGGAATGTCCGCTTACATCGAGGACACGTTGGAAGCAGTTGTGCGGCAGCGTTGCTGACTGGGCGCAGTTGGGATTTGCGGGCTTCGCGTTTCGCTTTGGCGGCGGCGATGCGGTTGGGTTCGTGGAGAGCAGCGCCCGTCTTCACTGTTCTCCTCCATGCCGGACGATCGCAGGCGAGCTCCTCCCATTTGGTCGGGTTGATTTGCAGTAGCTTCAGGGAGGACTTCAGGGTATCCTTGTATCGACAAATTGGGCCTCCTTGACGACGAGAACCCGTCGCGACGTCTCCGTAGAAGAGTCGTTTGGGTAGCCGCTCGTCGTCCATGAGCACCAGGTGGCCGCTCCAGCGCAGCTGCCTTTGTCTCAACATGGAGTAGATGCTGAGCATTCCCGTTCGTTCCAGCACATCAGTGTCGGGGATGCGATCCTGCCAGTTCAGCCGCAGGATGCAACGAAGACAACTGAGGTGGAAGTGGTTCAGACGGCGTGCCTGCCTCGTGTACACCGTCCAGGTCTCTGCTCCGTACAGTAGCGCTGGCAGGATAACGGCGTTGTACATCTTCAGCTTCGTGTTCAGTTGAAGACCGTGACGATTCCAAACTGTGCTTTGGAGACGACCGAAGGCTTGACTGGCTTTCGAGATCCTGTTAGCGACTTCGTCATCAATCTTGGTGGTGCGAGAGAGAGTACTGCCCAGGTACGGGAAGTTCTCCACCACTTGCAGTAGGGTCCCATTCACGCTGATTTGCGGCGACGCGTTGGGGGCTGTGGCTGAGTTGGGTGGCGGTTGGTGCATCACTACCGTCTTCTGCGTGTTAATGACTAGACCGAAGTTCTCGCGGGCGGCGGAGAACAGGTCCATGCTCCGTTGCATCTCCTCTTCCGAGGTGGTGTTCAGGGCGCAGTCGTCGGCGAAGAGGAGTTCGTGAACGGTTGTTGTGGATACGCGTGATTGGAAGTGCATCCGCCGTTGATTCAGCAGGTGACCGTCCGTCCTGTAGGCGATGCGGATCCCGGGGCGTTCGTCGCGGTAGGCGTCCATCAGCATGGCAGAAAACATAAGACTGAAGAGGGTTGGTGCCAGCATGCATCCCTGCTTCACTCCGTTAGTCACTGCGAATGCCTCTGAGACAGCTCCGTTGTCCGTGACTCGCGCCATCATACCGTCGTGCAGCCGACGCACCATCGGAGTGAATCGCTCTGGACAGCCGAATTTCTGCATGATCTTCCAAGTCCTTCACGATTCACCATGTCGAAGGCTTTCGTCAGGTCCACGAAGGTAGAGTACAGGTAGGTCCGCATCTCCTGAGACTTCTCCTGAAGTTGACGGGGGGCGAAGATCATATCCGTGGTCCCACGATGACGACGGAAGCCGCACTGGCTTTTCGGCAGAAGGCCCTGTTCCAGGTGGTTATTGAGGCGGTTGAGAAGGATGCGAGCGAAGATCTTCCCGGCGATGTTCAGCAAGGAGATGCTACGGTGATTGTCGCAGACTTAGCGATTCCCTTTTCGCTTGTATAGGTGCACGATGGTTGCGTCCTTGAAATCTTGCGGAACTTCACCTTGACGCCACATCTCCTGGAAGAGCGCAGTCAGGTGATCCATGAGTTGGGGACATCCGTGCTTGTAGACCTCAGCAGGGATTGCGTCCGATCCGGGTGCTTTCCCGCTGGAGAGCTGCTGCACGGCCCTGATCGTTTCCTGGAGAGATGGCGGGAGGTCTAGGTCCACGTTGGTCTAGACTTGCGGCAAACGCGCGATGGCGGCGTCGGAGATGGCGGAAGGGCGGTTTAGGACGCCTCGGAAATGCTCGGCCCATCGCTGCAGGATTTGCGTCTTCTCAGTCAGGAGAGTGCTGCCGTCGGCGCTGAGGAGAGGAGCAGTGGCCTTTGTCGGCGGACCGCAGACAGCTTTGATCGCAGAGAAGAAGTTCTTCCATTCGTTGCGTTCCGCTTAGCCTTGGATCTCCTCAGCTTTGCGAGCAGTCCAGGCGTCCTGCATCTCGCGCAGTCGCTGCTGGAGGTGGCGGTGACTGCGGTAGAAAGCAGCTTTGTTGTCGTCAGTGGGGTGATCGACGTAGGCTTTGTGTAGGCGGTTCTTCTCAGCAAGCAGATTTCTGATGACAGCGTCGTTGTCGTCGAACCAGTCCTGGTGTTGGCCGGGAGCGCGACCGAGGACGGTGAGCGCCGTCGACTGGACCGTGTCTCGCAGTTGACACCAGCGGTTCTCCACGGAGGCGTTTTCGGCAGCGGCGGTATCGGCGATGGGGAGGTTGTCTAGCCGTTGAGCTAGCTCATTGCTGAAATGGAGATGGTGAGCGGGCAAGGACAACAAGGCAATATTCAGCTTACCTGGGGGTCGCTTACCTTGAGGTCTCCTGCGAGGCTGTAGGTGAATACGCATCTTCGTGATGACGAGGCGATGGTCGGTCCACCCGTCAGCACCCGCGATCGCCTTCGTCACCAGCACGTCCCGCTGGTCACGCCTTCGGACGAGGACATAGTCCAGCAGGTGCCACTGACGCGACCGAGGATGCCTCCAAGTGGCCTTCTCTCGCTCCGGCAGACAGAAGAACGTGTTTATCAGGATAAGGCGGTGTTCTGCGCAGGTGCGGAGCAGCAACAGACCATTGTCGTTTGAGCCGCGGAGACCGTGGGGACCCAGCACTCCTCTCCAGGCAGTATGGTCTGTACCGACGCGGGCGTTGAAGTCGCCAAGGACGACCAACTTGTCCGCCTTCGGAACAGTCGCCAAGAGGGCGTGCAGGTCCTCGTAGAATTTGTCTCTGACGACGTCGGGGTTGGTCATGGTCGGAGCGTAGGCGCTGATGATGGTGGCGAATTGGCCTCCCCGCCGGAGAGGCAGACGGAGGCTCATCAGGCGATCGTTGATGCCCTGCGGCATACAGGACAGTCGTCCCACGATGTCATTCCGAATAGCGAAGGCGACACCCGCGTCTCGTCGCTCTGCCTTGGGTCGACCACTCCAGAAGAAGGTGTAACCGGCTCCCACCTCTTCCAGTTGGCCTTGTTCGGAGAAACGGGTCTCGCTGAGTGCGGCGATGCCCACCTTGTAGCGCGCCAGTTCTCGTGCCACTAACGCTGTCCTCCTTTCCGGTCGGTTGCTCCTCGGATTGTCTAAAAGGGAACGAACATTCCAGGCTGCCAGAGTGAGCGGACTCACCCTGCCAGTCTGGTGACGACGAGTGGGGCGACAGGAGGGAGATGGAGAAGAAGGTGACGAAGGAGAAGAATAGGCAGAAGAATAGGCAGAGGAAGAGGTAGAAGAGGTAGGATGAGGAGAATGAGTATGGTTGTTCTTGTTATTGGTATTGTTGTTGTTTCGATTTTGATTGTTTCGACCATGATTAGACGTCTGCGGCGCTGGCTAGTCTGGAGACGGCGTGGTACCCAGCAATGTTTAGGCCACCTTTTCTAGGCCCTTCCGCTCATGGGGGCAGGCAGTGCCGCCCCTGAATCGGGCTGCCCATGTGCCTGGTTGGCGCGAACGATCCCACTATGGGGCCACGACTTTTATGTTCGTAGTGGAGAACGACCGCATATGCCGTGAGTCCGCGGTCTCCGTCGGCGAGGGTGGGCGCGTCTCAGCGAAGGCGATGCGGAGACCCGTCCCAGCAGCAGTTATCCAACGGCGTACCAGGCAGAGCCTCGGGTGGGCGCGTCTCAGCGAAGGCGATGCGGAGACCCGTCCCAGCAGCAGTTATCCAACGGCGTACCAGGCAGAGCCTCGTCTCGACGATGCCGGCGCAGTGTTTCATCCGACCATCCATCCAGCGGAGTCCGCAGTACACTGTGCACGCGGCACAAGCGCACAGCGCCCTCACCTGGTTTAGCCCGCCGGTCGAGACGGTTGCCCGGGGTGTGGCCGCTGAGCAGAGCCCAGCTACGTGGAGCCACAGGTGAGAGTTGGGTGCCAGCAAATGGACGCTAGGCGTAGTCTCACCTGCAAGCAAGTGAGCGACCACTACGACCATCATGTGAACCCACCGCTGACACCCCCCAGCGTTAATTACAGAGTTAAGGTTGTAGGTAGGGCCAGAGTTAAGATTAGGGCAAGGGCTTTGTTTTAAATTAGGGTTATTTGTCGAAGTTAGGACAGGGGAATATTTTGCCCTATCGGACTTGTGTGCAGGCACACCTTTATTACTTGGGCGAGGATTCCTATTTGATGTCCTGTTTAGAGATACGTATAAGAAGTTCCTAACATGACAGTTCGACCGTTCACCTCGTGCAAGGTGAAGCAGGCACGGTGACTTGCGCGCGAATTAGTTCATAGTGATAGTAGACTTCCGCAACATCTACCGCACTCTCTCTTCCCCACTGCCTATCTGGAACCGGTGTCAAGAGAGAGTCAAAAAGACCAAAGGTGTGGTAGGGCGGCCCAACAATTATATTTTTCCGGCTTTTCACCTGGGAAGCTTTTTGTTACTATTTATCTTGTTGTGCTGATTTTTTAAAGCTGTGACAAATGTGATAGTTTTTAAATAGGCGTCGGTGGCAGCTGAATGAGACGCGAACAACACTGTATGAACCTTTAGAGTGTAAGTCAATCATAATTGACCATAATATTTGAAAGGATCAATTATTCAGAACGAAATGGCATGAAGTATCAAATAGAAATGCGTGCCAATAACGCTTGCTTGCTTATAAATAACACTTTTGCGGAACAAATTCGGATGCAGCTTTACAGCTTAGAACGGACTTAAAATGAAGTGTAGTAAGTCAAAGTGAATAAGACATTGCTAAATTCGGGCGTTTTAACCATTCGAGGCAGTTTGCAAAGCCACTATATTTATTAACTCATTTTTGAACAAGGCAAAGGCGACAAAGCATGCCGAATTTACTGACGTCATCAATTTCGAGACCTCTCATTCAGCTGCACACAGTCATTGCATAGTTATATGACAAGACAAACTGTTCAATCAACGATCGACCTAGAGAGATAAAACGTGATAGGTAAACTGAAACATGGGTCTAGTATGCGGTTGCATATGGCGAGGGGGGGGGGGA